TCCTAAATTTGTTGAGATTTACTTTGTGTCTCAATATGTGGTCGATTTTGGAGAAAGTTCCATGGGCTGCTGAGGGGGAAAAAAGGTATTTTTTGGTGGTGGGGTAGAATATTCTGTAAATGTCTGTTAGGTCCATTTGATTTATGATCTCCCAAGTTTCTCTAGTTTTTGTGTGAATGACCTGTCTGTTTTTGAGTGTAGGGTATTGAAGTCACCCACTATCACTGTTTTGGTATCAGTCTGTGATTTTAGATCCATAGTATTAGTTTCTTTTATGAGATTGGGTGCCCCCTGTGCATGGTGCATATTGTTTAGGGTAGTAATATCTTGTGGGTAGACTTTTCCTTTAATGAGTATGAAATGTCTTTCCCTGTCTCTTGTGACTAGTCTTAGTTTGTTGTCTGTTTTGTCAGTAATTAGACTAGCTATGCCTGCTTGTTTCTTAATTCCATTTGTTTAAAATACCTTTTTCCAGCTTTTCACCCTCATAGTGTGGATCATTGATGATGAGGTGTGGTTTTTGGAGGCAGCAAAAAGATGGATCCTATTTTCTAAAACAATCACTTTGTCTTTTTATTGGGGAATCAAGACCATTAATACTGAGTTTTATTGACCAATGTTTATTAATTCCTGTTATGTTGGTGTTGTGGTGTTGTTTTCTTAGACCTCTTATAGTGAGCTGTTTTAGAATTTTTTGTTCCTTGTACTCTCTTGGGTGTGTTAAATCTCTTCAGGCTGAAGTAGTCTATCAGGTGTTCTCTGTAGAGCTGGCTTTGTGGACATTAATTGCTTAAGTCTGTTCTTATCATGACAAGTTTTTCTTTCTCCTTCAAGTACAACTGATAGTTTTTTCTGGATATAGTAGTCTTGGCTGGAATCTGTCTATGTTCTTTCCTGTCCCAAGCCCTTCTGACTTTCATAGTCTCTATTGAAAAATCAACTGTTATTCTGATGGGCCTGCCTTCATATGTGACTTGCTCTTCTTCTCTTGCAGCTTTTCCATATATTTTCTTTGTCCTGCACATTTAGTACTTTGCCTATTATATGGTGTTGGGAATTTCTTCTCTGGTCTTGTCTACTTGGTGTTCTGTATGCCTCTTGTACCTTGATAGGTATCTTTCTAGGTTTGAGTTTTCTTCTATGATTTTTGTTGAAAATATTTTCTGATATGGGTTTCTTCTCCTTCCATACTTGTATATGTTTGATCTTTTTAGTGTTCTAGAGGTCCTGCATGTTATAGTTTAGATGCAGTGTTTATTTGACTGAGTGATCCATTTCCTCTCCCTTTATTCCAGACCTGACATTCTCTCTTATACTTGATCCATACTATTGGATCTGAGCTTTTTGTCTGACTTCCTGAGGTTTTTCTTTTTTTTCTTTTGTACAAGTATTTTGCCTGCATGGAAATGAACTTATGCATACAATGCTCACAGAGAATAGAAGAGGGTGTCAGATTCCCTGGGATTGGAGTTACTGTTGTTAGCCACCATGCGGGTGCTGGGAACCAAACTTGGGTTCTCTGCAAGAGCTCTTAATGCTCTTAAGCACTGAGCCATCTCCCCAGCCCTTACTTCCCTGAGTTTTCTTCCTGAGTTTTATCTCAGTTTGGCTTTTCTTCAGAGATTCTTTTTAAGTTTTAATTTCATATCTTGAATTGTTTTACTTATTTCATTCAACTGTATTTTCATGAGCTTCATTCAGTCTTTTATTCATATCTTCTTTGAGTTCCTTGAACATACTCATAATTATTATTTTTGAAATCATTGCCTTATGCATCAGCTAGGTTGCCTTTCTCAGGAAGGCATTCCCATCATCTCCATTATGTTGGGAGTACTAATTTCTGGAGGAGTCATACTGTCTTGGTTATTTATGCTGTTTGTGTTTTTTGTGATGGGATTTACATCGTTAATAGTGTTTCTTGGTGTGGATAGCTGATTTTGCCTTTATGTGAAGGTACTTATATCTTTGCTGTTACCCCAACTTCCTAGGTTGAGGCCCAGCTTAGTGGAGCTTAGTGTTCAGTCTTGTGGCCATTCTGTGTTGTGCAGATGGGGTGTAAGAAGTGGCCTCATTTTAGCAAGGGATAAGTGCTGCTTCTGAGACTGAGAATACAGAGCAGTTTCCATGTTGTCCAGAGCAACAAGAGTGGGTGAGGTGGCTGCTGTGAACAAGTCAGCAGACAGGTCAGTGTTGATTTTTGATTAGATGGGGAGGATTCTTACTTGGTGGTAACTAAGAAAAGGTGTAAATGTATTTGACTAGTTTTGTCTGGGCTAATGCACAGCCTATACAAACCCAGCTATAGCTGGGAGTGTAGGGAAAGCAGGCAAGGTTCTATAGAACTGACCACCTCTTGGCCATTGGGAGCAACGTGACCTGAGCTAGGTGGTGGGTGAATGGGATGGACAGGGAACTTACAGGTCTGGTGGGTATCCTGGAGTGTGTGACCTAGGCTAGCTGAGCCTGGGAACTGGGAAGGCAGATAAGGAATGTTGGGGTTGGGGAATTCACAGGTCTGGTTGGGTACATGGGATTGTGCTACCCGAGTTATACCTTTAAACAGCTTTTGTTATTAACAGCAGCATTTGGCACATGTTGCTGGTTTTCATTCTTCAAGGCAGACTGCTCACCTTTCCCCTTAGTGATTTCTCTCAGTGTGGTCCTTAAACATCCTTGTCCTTACTAGGCCTATATACTCATCTTAAGTTCTTCCTGCTCCCTTTATGATTTAATTTCTTACATTGGAGTGTGTGATGATGTCTGTTTCAGATGTATTTGTGTATTTAAGATGCTTCATTATACACTAAATCCCCATGCACTTGCTTTCATTTCAAGATTTTATCTTTATGTGTGTGGGTTGTGCATGTGAATGCAGGTGCCCACAAAGGCCAGAAGGCGGCTTTGGATCCCCTGGAACTGGAGGTACAAGTGGCTGTGAGCCACCCAACATAGGTGCCATAGAAGCCAAACTCATGTTCTCTGTAAGAGCAAAAATGTGCTCTTATCACTTGAGCCATCTCTCCAGCTTCTAAGATCAGAACTTCGTGTTTTATTGATTTGTTAGGAAGATAGCAGTACATCCTTTTTAATTAGGCTATCTTGTTAGTGTATTTTCATGCCCCATAATGAAAAGCCACATCTTCCTTCAAAAGTCCCTGGATTCAGGTCAATGATTATTCTTCTGTATTGGGGGTGTGGAGCCATTTTGTCCAATTCCTCTGAAATTCCCTTGGTAATTTCAGGTTGTATTATTAAGTATTGTTCTAGTTCATTTCTCCATTGCTGTGACAAAACACTCTGACCAATACCAACTTGGGGAGGAAAGGGTTCATTTGTCTTACATCTCCCGGGTCAGAGTTCATCACTGAGGGAGCCCAAGATAGGAACTCAGGGCAGGATCCTGGAGGCAGGAGCTGGAGCACAGGCCATGGAGGAATGCTACTTTCTGACTTGCTCCCCTGGCCCATGTTCAACCTGCCTTCTTATACAACAGCATAGGCCCACCTGCCCAGGGGTGGCTCCACCCACAGTAGAGGGCTGGGCCCTCCTACATGGCTCAGTAATCAAGAAGTTTCTCCACAAACATGACCACAGACCAGTCCAATGAAGGCAATTCCCCAATTGAGGCGTCCCCTACCCAAGTGTGTTGACAACTAAAGTTATCCAGCACAAATGTGTAGACTGATCTGTGGGAAATTGATGTTGCACTCTCAGAAATGCATCTTCCATGTGTGGTCCTTACCATGCTTCTCCTGTGTGTTTCCTGGAAGTAAAATGCTAGGTATTTTATATTTGGGTTGCTAAGAAGTGAGTTTTGTCAGGACCAGGGGATGTTCATGTGGGGTTTTGTGCTCAGTGGGCATGTGCCATATAGGGCCTCCACAACCTCACTTCCAGAATGGAGCCAGCCAGGGGCACTTCACTGTGCAGGGGTTTGGCCCAGGCCCATGTGTGCACTGAGCACTGGGGTGGAAATAAAGACTTGAGGACAATGGAACTGATGGAATACATTGGAATTGGAGAGCAGGGATTAATGCTGCTTACTCAGATTGGTGTGTCCATTCAGCTTCAAGCAGTATCTTCTGTTCCCTGTAGTTAGTTAGCCCATTTGCCTACCACAGCCCAGCTTTTACTGTACTCAAAACCCAGACCGCCTCTCTTCCTGGAAGCCTTTGTTAGGGCACAAAATAGTACTTTGCATCATCAATGTATGTGTCTTCAAAGCCTTGCTACTATTTCATGAGTCTGCCTTCACCCAGGTCCCAGGTGCAGGCTTTGCCCAGGCCTGCATGGCTCAGGTGTGCACTGATATTCCTTTTGGTGACACTGCTCTGCCTAGATGACAGCAAATTGTACCACTTGAGATTTTCCATGCTGGGGAGTACAGAGAAATAATGGAGTATATTTGAGTAACATTTTATTCTCTACCCATATTTATCTTCCTACTCACCCATACAAAATATGTGTCCATTTAAGCTTGCTTTGATCACTCAGAAACTCTAGTTTTAGTTCATCTTCTTCAAGGAATGCATGCTTCAAACTCTGGATTATCTAAACAGTGCTTATTGGTATTCTCCAAAATGTATAAAGTGAGTAATGTATGGGATGTATCTTAAATATTAAAACTTAGAACTTAGGAATTCTCATTTCAGCATTGCCTCTGAGCTGTGTGCCCTGCCTCTCTTCACTTTATGTTCATAAAATATGTAGAAATTGGATAGAGAATTTTATAGGAATGAAAATAACTGTCCCTGTTGAAAATCTGGCTTTATCTCCTTTATTCGTCAGTGCTGTTCTATGAGGCAGGTACTCTACAGTGAGGAAACCGCAGCTAACAGGATCGTGCTCATGTCTAGTGGACCTGAAGGTTGTGCTTAGAGCTGTGGCGAACTCTTCATCCCAGGCTACCTCCTTTGGTTCACTATATTCAACAGCTTGGGTGTTTTAATGTCTTAATACTGCTGTCTGGTTGTCATTAAACCTGCAAATCTGTCTTGTAGGAACAAGTGGTGATGAACTTGGACAGCAGGCTTCTGATCTTCCCTTTATATATCTGCTGTAACTTCTTGTATATATCACCAGAAAAAAGACCTGAAAGTAATCGTCACCCAGAAAATCCAGGAAACTGAGGCTCTCATCTGTGGGAAGCAGGAACACTTTGAAAACTGTTGAGGCCAGCTTTAACTTAATGGCCTACTGCGCTCACATCCAAGGTGACTAATAATGACAGGGGCCTTATGAACTGCACAGATGCTGTAGAAGATGGTCCTTACCCTTGTTACATTTCTATGCACATATGAAAAAAATATTTTAAAACTAAGAAAATATCTGTTAAACCACGTGTTATATCAACTCTTGCTTTTAATTTAGTATAAGTAGAAAATTGCTATAGGTAAATTTCTCATTTCTTTGTAACAAAATATAGCTTTAATTTTTAGCTTGAATTTTGCCTAATGTTAGTAAACTTCACTTACCTGTAAATTAGTTTCTATTTTGTTAAGAGAATGCTAAAGGAATAATTCGACTGACCAATTATAAATGTTCTTTCAATTGGTGCCTTTAAAGCTGTTCTTTAATTTTTCAGCCTCTATCTTGATTCTTCACCTTACTCCGATACCTTTCCAGTCTGCTTGTTTTTAATCATTAAATACTTTTTCATGGTTTGGGGGACTAAGTATAGGAATTTTTTTTTAATCTCAAGCATTTTCATATTTTTCTTTAATTTAGCTTTCCTAAAATTTTAAACAACAAAAATCAGCTTTAGAACTTGAAATAAACTTGAATGAGGGAAAATGGGTTGATTTTGAGGGTTCTTTTGCCTTATATGGCCTTGTCTTTGACATTCTGTGTACTCTTACTGTCAGGTTATGGTTTATTTATGTACAGATACTACACTTTCAGACATTTTCGTGCTCTCAGATCATTGGAATTTATGTTCAAATTCTCATTTGTAATCGTTTCCTACTTAAGCTCAGGACTTTATAACCTCAAAACTGAGTGCCTTTGAGTTACACATGTTAACTGCGATTTCATAGGCAATGTACAGGAGGCTAGAGGAGCTGATGTCGAAGCTAGTAACAAAGGAGTCGTGTAAAATAGAATTTATTTTTGTCAAAAATGAGATGTATGCTTGTCATGATTTGTTTATGTTGAATTCTTATGTTTATTGCTATTTTGAAAGTAGCCATATTCATTTTCTTTCCAGTCAGGGTGCTTTTGTGGTTGATGTATATTTGTAGTATGTTTTTAAAATTGGAATCATTTTTATGTATCTGTTCAAATAATAAATGCTCATTTGGAAAAAAAAAAAAAAGAATAAGCAAACTCCGATTTAAAATGGACCTCAAACCTTATCTGAAACTAGGATTTCTTTTTCTAGTTAGATCATTTTTTTCAACCAATTGGTTCTTTATTTTTGTTTTAAAGCAGAATTCTGTTGGAGCTTTAAAGAAAACAACTGGGCAAGCAGCTGTAAATCTCAGCAGCTGCTCTGAGGAGGGAGCTGAAAAAAGGAAGTGAGAAAGTTATGCTTAGAGTCAAGAAGGAAGATAGGACCCCTGAGGGAAATCTGCAAGAGAGAATACCCAATGTCAGAGCAAGAAGGCCTCAGATTTGGACTGGTATTGGAAAAAAGGAGGTCTTTAGAAAGAAGGGAAAAGAAAAGGTTGTGGTTTCCGAGTTGTAATTCAGAGCAGGCAGGAGCAGCTAGAGGATTCATGAGTACCTGCTCCCAACTGCTTTGAGCTTTGAATTTGCTGATTGTTTTTCTTTTCTAGTAATATGAGTGTTTTGACTGCCATTTATGTTAGTGCACCTGTGCATGCCATACCCAAAGAGGCCAGAAGAGGGTATCAGACCCTCTAGAACTGGACGGACAGTTGTTAGCTACCCTGTGAGTGATGGGACTCAAACCAGGACCTTTACAAGAGCAGCCATTGTGGTTAACCACTCAGCCATCTCTTCAGCCCCTCATTTAAATTTTTTTAAAGTGATTATGGCCAGCCAATGAGATGGCTTGTGGGTAAATGCACCTGCCACCAAGCCTGATGATCTGAGTTTGGTTCCCCAGAACGCACATGGTAGAAAAAGAAAATGGACTCCCAAAAGTTGTCCTTGACCTCCACACTCATTGTCATGCATGTGCCTGCACAGATACACATGTGCACAGAAAAATGAAATAAAAAATGTTGTAATGATTAGTTGTCCAGGCTGCACTAGCCATATTGTAAGGGCTCAGTGACATAGAACTGGTGGCAGCTATAAAATATTACCATCAACAAGAAAGAAAGTTCTGGTAGTCTAAAATATGGGTCTTTTTTTTGATATTTTGAGACAGGGTCTCCCTGTAGCCACAGCTGGCCTGGAATTCACTATGTAGACCAGGCTGACCTTGATCTCCAGAATATAGGACTCTTAACAATGAAACTGATGGGATTTTTTTTTTGTTTCATCTTCTTTTGTCTTTAAAAAATTATTTTTAATTATGGGGGGGGGTCTGTACACTCAAAGGCTTCTGATACCCTGGAGCTGGAGTTATAGGTGGTTATGAACCACTTGATTTCAGTGCTGAGAACCAAACTCCGGCCCTCTCCAAAAGCAGTGTGTGCTCTTAATGACCAGGCCATCTCTCCAGCTCTTCTCTTTTTATTTTTGAGTCAAAGTCTCACTGTGTAGCAGAGGCTAGCCTTGAACTCAATTTATACACCAAGCTGGCCTCTAACTCACTGTTGCTGCTTCAGACTCTCGAGTGCTGGGATTGTAGTCATGTCTGACAGTGCCTAGCTGGTGAAACTGTTTAAAGTTACATTTCTTAAAGATGAACCCATGTGAAGAACAGGGACACAACAAACAGCCAGAGGTGCAGATGATAGGCACCAGAGACTTGCCATCCACCAAAATGGTTTGGTTCCTTTTTTTGTGTTTGTCTTTGAGAGAGGATCTCATGAAGCCCAGGTAGCAGCAAACTTGATAGGAAATCTTGAACTCCTGATCTTGTGAACCCAGAATGCTGGCATTACAGGTGTGTGTCACCATGCCCAGTTTATGTGGTGTTAGAGATTGAATTTACAGCTTGTGCATGGTAAGCAAGCACTCTGCCAACTGAGCCACATCCTTAGCTCTTAGAAATTATATATTCAAAGCAGTGCAGGCTCAGGCACGTGACTGGATTTAAAGGGGAAGAAAATAGTACAGTTCCCTCCTCAAGTAGAAAAGTGGTTTGTGCTGTATTGTGGTGTTTGTTGGCTTGAAATAGGTTAGCACTCTAGTCCATGCTGGCCTCAACTCATAGCACTCTGGCTCCCTCAGCCTCCAGAGTGTTGGGCTTACAATCACGAGCCAACATGCCTGACAACCAGAGAGTTTTAATTCTTCCCAAGGTACAAAAGTGCTAAGAGCAAAAATCCCCAAAACAGCATCAGTCACTGAGAACTAGGGTTCAGGCAGTGCGCAATTAGAAGAGAATTGTTGTGCATGCTTCGTGTTCATAGCAGAGCAGCATGCTTTTATGAAGCTGGTAATTCCACATCAAATAGACAAGAAAAGTAAAAATCAAATTTCTGCCTGGACACAGTGGCACACGCCCAAAATCTCAGCAAACCAGCCTACACTTCATAGGAGAGCCTGTCTCTAAAAATATACAAAAAGGGCAGCCTGTCTCTAATTTCTCAGACATCAGCTGATTTCTGTTTCTCTGGCTGTGTCAGGCTCTTTTCTCCCAAGTCTGCTGTAGGTGGTTGCCCGCACTCTCCTACTTTCAAAGGAGGATCTATATTCTAATGAGTTTGTTTTGTCTAGCTAGCTCAGCCTAGCGCTCTCCAAGCTGCAGGTACATATCTAGTTGGTCTAATGAATGTTCAAGATGACCTCAAGTTAGTGTGTCCAGCATCAGCGTGCTTTACTTTCTCAGCATTGCCCTGTTTACCCAGACTCAGCAAATAATGTTGCCATCTTTCCAGACATGTGTACCAGAAGCCCAGATGTCACTCTTGAATGTTTTTTTTTATGTTTATTTACTTATTTATTATTTGTATTTTTAATCTTTGTGAGACAGGGTCTCCCTGTAGCCCCAGCTTGCCTGGAACTCACTATGTAGACCAAGCTGGCCTCGAATTCACAGATCTTCATGCTTCTGCCTCCCAAGTGCTGGGACTAAAAGCACCAATTTTTAAGTTACCCAGTTGTGCTGGATAGCTTTAGTTGTCAACTTGACACACCTGGGTAGAGGGAGACTCAATTGGGGAGTTGCCTCCCTTGGGCTGGCCTGTGGCCCTGTCTGTGGGGCATTTTCTTAATTGTTGAGTGACGTGGGAGGGTCCAGCCCACAGTGGGCGGTGCCACCCTGGGTAGGTAATCCTGTATTGTTTAAGAAACCATGTTGAGCTTGAGCCAAGGGAGCAAATCAGTAAGCAGCATTTCTCCATGTCCTTTGCTCCAGCTCCTGCCTCCAGGTTCCTACCGAGTTCCTACCTTGGGCTCCCTCAGTGATGAGCTGTGACCAAGGAGATGTAAGCCAAATAAACCCTTTCCTCCCCAAGCTGGTATTGGTCGGAGTGTTTTGTCAAAGCAATTGAAGGCAATCTAGAACACCAGTCTCTGATACTATGCAAAACAGACTAAGACACCAACCTAGATAAAACTACCTCTAGCCAGGTGTGGTGGCACACACCTGTAGTCCCAGCACTTGGAAGGCAGAGGCAGGTGGGTCTCTGTGAGCTCAAGGCTAGTCTGGTCTACATAGTGAGTTCCAGGCTAGCTAGGGCTATAGGGGGACCCTGTTTCAAAAAGACAAAAAAAAAAAAAAAAACAAAAAACCCTCCCTCCAGTATGTTTTGCTTCTTCAGTGAAGTCTCTGTGTCACCCTAAAGTGTTCTCTGAATAAACTCACATCTGATTCTCTCCCATCCTTAAAACTGCAGAGGCTCCTCAGGTAACCTTAAGTCTCTCCCACATCTCTCGCCTTGCCCTGCAGTAATGCAGTCTCTTCTCCCTCAGCACACATTGCCCCCATTACTTCTGGCTGGTTTGTGCTCACAATATTTTCTTCTGGAAGTTTCTCTTCATGACCTTCGTCCTCAACCACCTCCACCAGGTAGGTACTCCTCAGCTGTGCCTCCCGATCCCTGCATGGCTGCACTTTCACATTGCTTCCTTGTTTGTAGCCCTCCCTGACCTACAAGCAGTTCAAACATGTGCCTTTTCATTTTCAGTCTTTTGATAACATATATGTGCAATAAATGTGAAAGTGACTAGTAATTATGGTGTTAATTTTCTGATGTTTTCACTCCTAGGGCCTTGCTGAGGCCAACTTCCTTAGGACTGAGTACTAAATTCTGAATGGACCTTTCCGTGCCTTCACATGCAAACTAGCCAATCCCAAACTCACTTCCCCTACCATTTCTTTAAAGAAACTGTCCAGCCAGGTTGGTGTTCTCTGCTCTAATCCCCAGGGCAGGCACCAGATGACACAGATGGCCTCTCCTCAGAGCCTGCTGGAATGATTCATACTGGCCATTTATTGCATGACTTTTCATGAGGAGACATAATAGTTAACCTTAATAAATTGATGGGATTTGGAATCACCATGGAAACAAATCCCTGGGCATGTCTGTCTGTAGGGGATTGTCTAGATTAAGTTAATTGAGGGAGGAGGACCCACCCTAAATATGGGCAGTACTGTATAATGGATTGGAGTCCTGGACTGCACAAATAGGGAGAAAGGCTGAGCACAAGCATTCGTCATTCTCTGCCTCCTGATGCAGACACAGCCAGTAACCAGCACCTCAAGCTTTTGTTGAAGCCCTGCTTTGATGGACTGTACACTGTAGCAATGAGCCAAAATAAACCCTTCTGTAAGTTGTTTTTATCAGGTATTTTATCATAGAAAGAAGAAAAGTCATTAATACAGATGTGGACAAATACCAGTTCAGCCCAGATACCCAACAGACCAAACAGTTCTGCCCAAGCTAGCTTGGTGAATGCGAGTTTACTGGGGTTCAGAAATGAAAAGTCAAAAAGGCTGCATCCCTGGAGCTCCCTGCTTAGCTTGCAGCCAGTATTCAGGAGGCTATTGCAGGAGGATTGCCACAAGTTCAAGGCCAACCTGGGCTACAGAGTGAGGACAGAAAATGACCAATTAGAAAAAACTATGCCTAATGCACTGGCCATTCACTGTAGCTCATGATGAGGGGAGGAATGGAACGCTTAACTGGCAGACACAAAACTTAAACCTGAGCAGGAGCCAGATCATGCAGACAGCAGGTAGTAACCATGGGACAGCAGCTGGGACTTGGAATCCTCACCAGATATCCAGGCTGTTAGGACCTTGCCTTGGACTCCCAGCCTCCAGAACTCTTAAGAAGTTTCTGTTTTTTTAATAAGGTATTCACAGCTTGAATGAACTAAGACAGTTACAAATAACCTTCTATGCTGTCACCTAAAAATTTTATATTCAAAACTCTGGGGCTGGAGAAGTGGTTCCTTGGGTTAAGAACATGTACTCCTGTTGCAGAAGACCCAAGTTCAGTTCTCAGTACTTATATCAGGTGGTTCACAGCAACCTCTAACTCCAGCTCCGGGGGGATGCCTCTGACCTCTGGAGGCACCTGCATTTGTATCACAGACACAATTTTTAAAAATCTTGCTAGGCGTGATGGTGCATGCCTTTAATCCCAGCACCTGGAGGCAGAGGCAGAGGCAGGTAGATTTCTGTTGAGAGCACGGCCAGCCTGGCCAAAGCAGTACCCAGCCAGTCAGAACTACACACCGAGACCCTTTCTCAACAAATAATCTTTAATCAGTAATCCACTGTGAATTAATTTTGTTCAATATTCAAGGTTTAGGCCAAGATTCACCAAATCTTTTGGTGTTGAATTTTGTTAAATGCTTTTTCTACATTTCAGTAACATGGTTATGGATTTTCTCTAGCCTGTTAATTTGGTGAATTAAATGGTGTTTTGTGGGGGTTTTATTCTGTTTCTGAGGTAGAGAAAAATAGATGCAATGCTTTGTAATTTGTCTTTGCATTCTGTCCACCAAAACAGTTTTCAGGATTCTCACTAGTGGCCCTATTCTGCTAAGTTGAACAGAGTTCATGCTTTAGGTTATTTAATTTTATTTATTTTGATTTTTTGTGTATTAGTGTTTTGCCTGCCTGTAAGTACACCCATGTGGTACAAAGTCCAGAAGAGAGTATCAAATACCTGGAACTGGGCCATCTCTCCAGCTCCAATTTCAGTTATTTTAAAGCTTTCCCTACTGTGTTGATGGTGTTGGTTTTCTAACAGTGCTGCAAAAAATTACCACAGACCCGTTGGCCTAAATCACCAAAAATGGATTTTCTCACTGTTAGAGACCCCTGAAGTCCAGAATCTGTTTTAGTGGACTGAGATTGAGGTGTCCACAGAGCTGTGCTCCTCTGCAACTCCCAGTGAAGACCCTGATCCCACTTCTTACAGTTTATGTTGCTGTCATTCTGGTGTCAGACCCTTTGCCTCTTCAGGCGTACTGCCTGCTCCCTTTTATCAACCTTCCTCTGCTTCTCTACAGACATTCATGATGGCTCTTAGGACCACCTGGATCATCAAGGGCAGCCTCCTCATCTACACATCCTTACTATACAAGGCAACATCCACAGGCTTCCAGGATAAGAACCAAGCATCTTTGCTGGTCTGCTCACCAGCTACACCATTCTCAATTTTTCTTTGCAAAACTCTAGTCTCATAAATTGTGACACACTATTTGCTGCTAGAGTTTTCATACTTGACACCCACATTTTGGCTTTCTTGCCACTTCCTTTTCTGTTTAGGCCCACTTGTCCCCAGGGCCATCATTAATCTCTTTAGGACCATCTCATCAACTCCTGTAATTCATTAACTCCCCACTTCTGTCTTGTCTTCTGCTCTTACCCCAGATAGTAAGCTCTGTTTGCATATAGCCAAATGCCTATCCAAAATACCTATTTGGATGTTCGTCCTATTGAATAGTTTAACAAAACACAATTCGGGTTCCCCAACTGCAAGCTGAAGTATAAGATTCTCACCATGTTATTCCTTGGCATAAGCACCCCTCAGATAACAAAAGGAAGCAACTTTTCATTACCTTTTTCATGTGTCTTCCATATGGACACAACCATGTTTTATGCATGTGGTGAACAAGCCAACCCTTACTCTCTCAATAAGTGTCTCTCAGAAGTACACACTCTTGGGCCAGTGAGAAGCAAGTAAAGGTGCTTGGCACCAAGCCTGTGTGCATGTATGCCTGTATATGTGCGAACAAATTTGTATTCATGTTATAGCAGTGCCTGGCACATAGCACAGTATGTTCCCAGTATTATTCTAGAAAACCCTTGTGGGATGTCAGATTAAGCTGAATGTCCTTTTATCCTTTCACAGCACACAGGACATCTCATGTAACTGTCTCATCATCTGCCTCCACACCTGGATTGCAAGCTCTTCGAGGCAGAAACCGTGACATTCATCTTTTCATCCTAGTGCCAAGCAGTATAATGTCCAACATTCAGCAGGCATTCAAAAAATATTGTTAACCCCCCCCCACACACACACACACACCACCCAACCATTTATGAAAGTCTGGAGAGGTTTCTTGAAGTGTTTTCATCAGATGAAACCCAAGCCCTGGCAAGAAAAGAAAAAAAAGGGAGGAATTATCTTTGACCACCAAAGCCTCCATGTTGTTTATACCTCTACTGCTCAGCCCTTTGGCTTCCCATAATTCCATCTTCGCTATGGATAGTAACTTCAATCGTAGTGCTGTTTGTCCAGGAATATCCCTAAATCTTCTTCCTTGAAACCTGAAACTCCTAATCCTTTGAACCTATCTCTTCTCTTCCATACTTACCGCACATTATGCCAGAATAATCTGAAGAATCTGGGAATCAGGCTTCATGGTGGAAATTCTAGCTGTTACTGTGGGCCAATTCTTACCTATAATAGAAAGTTGAATTTGGAACAGGTATTTAAAAGGCTGGAGAGATGGCTCAGTGGTTCAGAACACTTGTTCTTCAAAGGACCCAGGTTTGATTCCCATCACCCACATGGTGGCTTAACAAGCATCCATAACTCCAGTTCCAGGGGATCCCAACCCTCTTCTGGTTGCTGTGAGCACTGCATGCATGTGGTGCATGTACATACATGCAGGCAAAACACTCATACACATAAAAATCTTTTTAAAGGGCCACATCAAGGGCTTGGAGAGATGGTTCCACAAGAGCACTGGCTGCTCTTGCAGAGGGCCTGGGTTCAGTTCCCAGCATCCACATGAACCACTTCAGTTTCAGGAGACCTTTGTCTGGCAACCTTGGGTATTCATTGCACACACTTGGTGCACTCACACACATGCAGGTAAGACACTCATAAAAATAATTTTTAAAAAAGATTCCTTTAAAATCATACTCTTGCATGTCTTTAATTTTAAAAAATATGTGTATGAATGTATTGTCTGCATGTATGTAAGTGCACCCCATGTTGTGCAATGCCCAGGGAAGTCAGAAGAGGGCTTTGGATCCCCTGGAACTGGACTTACAGACAGTTCTTAGGCACCATGTGGGTGCTGGGAACCCAACCACGTCCTCTGCAAGAGCAGCCAGTGCTCTTAACAGCTGAGCCATCTCTCTAGCCCCATGGATTTAGTTTTTTTAATGATGACTAGTAGGCCAAGTGTTTCCAACCTAGTCTCCTTCCAACTTTTTTTTTTTTTTCTGTCTTTTTGAGACAGGGTCTCCCTGTAGTCCCAGCTGACCTGAACTCGAACTCATTATGTAGACCAGGCTGGCCTTGAACTCACAACTATCAACCTGCCTCTGCCTCCGAAGTGCTGGGATTAAAGGCCTGTGCCACCAGGCCCGGCTTCCAACTCTTTTTTTTTCTAAAAGCCAGAACTCTCAGCCTTTGGCAGGAGTTGACAAAGAGTTCATCAGTAGAGGCTCAATCTTTCACCATTAAGGGCATTTATGTTTTACTGCTGAAGTTTCTGCCTTGTAGGCAAAGGAGCCTTTTGTCCATCATAATGCCTTTCATATTGAAGATTGTGGCAGCTTTTGCAAGGTTCTTTGAGGAAGTAGGATGGAATATTACAGACTACAAAAAACCGTGGTTCGGGCTGGAAGGATGGCTCAGCAGTTAAGAGCATTTGCTGCTCTCAGAAGACCGCAGTTCAATTCCCAGTACCCCTGTCAGGCGGCTCACAACTGCTTGTTACACCAGCCCAGGGGATCGTACGCACTTTTCTTGCTTCCACAGAGACACACGAATAAAGAAATTTAATGTGTGCACATTCTCAATGCTGGCATCTGAGAAAAGCCGACGGTAAACTTTTGAGGTATTCGCTTCTTAGGCGAGTTATGGAAAATCAAACGGAAACGGACTGCGTAGGCTATTTAGAATTGGGGTGATATGTGGGGTGGTTTCTTTGTTTTTTGCCTTTTTAAGACAGGCTCTCCCTGTAGCCCCAGCTGATCTGGAACTCACTGTACAGACCATGCAGGCCGGCCCTGAACTCACCTGCCTCTGCCTCCCAAGTGCGGGGACGGCAGGCGTGTACCACCACGCACGGCTTCTGTAATGTTTCGTGCGTGTGGTGAAATGCTGAGAGGAGCGCTGTGCTGGGGTTGGAGGGATATGCAGCTAGGTGAATTCTCTAGGTACTCCTTTAAGAACATCATAGTTTCTAAAGCCTACAGTGACAAAGAAGAAATAGCGACAAAAATCGAAGCTGGAGGAGCGGAAACCGCACTCACGTCCGGAACTCCAGACCCCGGATCCGGGGCGGGGGTTTAGTGCATGCAGCATGCTGTTGGAGCAGCCGGAACTCTCGCAACGGGTCTCCGTGGTTTCCAGCAGGCGGAGTGACGCAACTTCTTATGTTACCGGAAGTCGAACGGCCGTTTCCGGCGAAGGAGGGGGCGGAGGAGGACTCCGATGGGTCGCAGCCGCAGCCGCTCCCCGCGAAGAGGTGAGTCGAGATGCTTTTACGGCTCGGGCTGGTCGCCTAGTGGGCGCCTTCTCACCCAGGGGCGGCGGAGAGGCAAGCGGGAACCCAACGCCCAGGCTGTGAGCCTCCGCCGGCGAGCTGCGGCCCCAGGCGTCTGCGTCCTTGGGCCAGCACAGTTAGGGTCTCAGACCACAGTTTCTTTGCTTAGTTTCTGGGTGATCGTGCACAATTAAGCCCGTCTCCCTGAATCCCTTTCCCGTAGTTAATAATTACGCTTACCTTCAAAAGCCTACGTGAGAATTAGTGTCACCCACCATAACATTCCGTATGCTTTTTCTGGGACATAGATATTTAATAAATGCTAGTGTCCTGCCCAGTTCATAATTTGGAAGTGTATAGACTTCTGAGACCAGGTGTCCTAATAATGTCTGATGTGTCCCACCCCATAGCTGAGGGGAGTGTAAGGAACGTGTACTTCCTTAGGGAGTCCTGCATAGAAACTCAGTGCGCCCTTATGATTTGCTCACCTGAGACATTGACAGACCTGTAGCAATTGGGCCCTTGAAGTGCTGTAAATTTAAAATACACAACATCCTATGGGGGAAAAATGTTTTCTAGCATTATCCTTTACTTTGATCAGTTTACTAATTTATACAAGAAATGGCAGATTGAACAACTGATATAAGCATACCACCATACATAGTCATTCTTTTAAATAGTACAAAACTTTTGTGTTAAAAATACATCATCACATGATGTACCCTAATATTATTACCACATAAACATTGGAAATATAGAGTGTTTTAAAACTTTCATTGTTTTCTGACTGCATAGTGAAGCGATATGTGTTGAAGTGGTAGGTCAAAAAACTTCTGGGGTGTATGTGTGTGATGTGACAGGAAGGGAATTGAATCTAGGGCTTCATGCATGCTGGGCAACAGTTCTACCATTGAGTAATATTCCCTTTTTTGAGACAGGATCTCATGTAGCCAAGGTGAGCCCTGAACTCCATTATCTTTTCCTCTGCCTCTCCCTCTCCAATCCTAGTGTTACAGATGTGTGCTATTATGCCCAGCAATGACTTTTTAAAAACCTTTCCATTGTGGCTACTAGAAGCGACTTGCATTATACTTCAATGGGACAGCTCTAGATATCTGAGATAATTTTCGACCCTGTAACTTTTTGTACATTTGTATTAGAACGTAGGCGGTCCCGGTCCACATCCAGGGATCGAGAACGAAGGCGCCGAGAAAGGTCCAGGTCTCGGGAGCGAGATCGCAGAAGGAGCCGCTCGAGATCCCCCCACCGACGACGCTCCAGGTGAGCACAGAAAATGAACCAGAGGTTTGACCACAAAGCTATAAAGAATTGGTAGCTGCCAAATGTAGAAGGGAATCTACAGTTTCAAGTACCTAATTAAGAACGATGACCATAGAGGAATAATAAAAACAGACTCTTCATAAATACCAGTTGTTGGTTAAGACTTTTTATATGTAATTGTTAGAAATCTTCTAAGAGTTTTTATTACATTTTATATTTTATTACATTTATTTGGCGGGCGGGGGGGGCACAAATGTGGAGGTCAGAAGACAACTTGTGGGAGTTGGATATCTCCTTCCACTGTGTGAGTCCTGGGGATTGAGCTTAAGTCATCAAACTTTGTGGCAAGTGCCTTTACCCTCTAAACCATCTCACCAGCCCCAGCCTTGTTAGAATTTTTTTCTTTTTTTAATTAGTTTTTATTTTATGAGTGTTTTGCCTGCATATATGTAAGTGCACATGCATGCAAACCCATGGAGGCCAGAAGAGGGCATTGGATGCCCTGGAACCTGAGTTACAGATGGTTGTTAGCCACCATTTGGGTAGGGACCTGAACCCAGGTCCTCTGCAAGAGCAACCAGTGGTCTTAACCACTAAGCCATCTCTCCAGTCCCTTTTCTTTTTTGAGACAAGGTCTCACTGTATAGCCCTGGCCTGGAACTCAATATGGAGACCAGGCTGGCCTCAAACTAACAGAGATCCATCTGCCTCTGCCTCCTGAGTGCTCAGATTAAAGACTTGTGCCACCATGACTGGCCTTTTCTTTCCTGGCCAATAGGAAGAGGCTTAGCAGAAGCTTTCTCAGTCTACTATGGAGAACAGAATCTGTTCTCAGTAGCCTGGCTTTTGTTCAGCAGTCACCCATCAGAAACTCATGGATTGACAGAGCTGCCGTATATGTGTGTTTGTAACATCTCTACTTTGTAACTGTTAGATCTCCAAGACGACACAGATCCACATCTCCTTCCCCTTCTCGACTGAAAGAAAGAAGAGACGAGGAAAAGAAAGAAACAAAAGAAATAAAGAGCAAAGAACGTCAGATTACTGGTAATGCTGCTAGCTAAGTAAGCTTATTCAGATAATTTCAGTATGTTAAAGGGGTAATTTTGAATATTTAAACATTAACCTTCTAATAGAGTTCATTCCATGTGATTTTGAGATTTCCTTTCAATTGTATGTTAGTGAGTGCTGGTATGTGTAGTACTCCTGATGCAATCTAGGAAGGGTAGTTTAAAAACACGAAGAAATTCTGTTTTGGAAGTAACCAAGAGTTGATAGTGTTGGGGCTAGAAAGGTGGCTTAGCTATTAAGAGCACGTACTGCTCATTCAGAGGACCTGAAATCAATTCCCAGCACCCATGCCGGGCAGTTCATAACAGCCTGTAGCTCCAGCACTGCACTAACGTGTATAAACCCAAACATAGACACATAAATGTACATAATTAAAAATAATACTTGATAGTGTCTTAGCTAGTGGGATGAGTCAGTACTTAAGAGCGCTTGTTGTTCTTGTGAGGAACTGAGTTCAGTTCCCAGCACCCATGTCGGGCAGTTCACAGTGGCCTATAACCCAGCTTCAGGGGATCCAACACCCTCTTCTGTTCTTCATAGACATCTGCATGCAAGTGATGCCTGTACATACACTCAGGTGCACACACACATAAAATAAATAAATTAATTTAGAAGAAGAAAAAAAATTGATAGTTCCACATCCAATGTTAAAGATGGGTCTACCTCAAGGCTCGAAGGAGAGCATGTGTGAACGCGGGTTGTTCTCTTGGACTCTCCTTAATGTTCTCTGTGGGCGATATGAAATGTCTGCAGATCTGTTGCTGTGCCTCCTTTTACATTGTGTGCATGTGTATGTGTTTGTGTCTGTGTGTGTGTGTCTGTATGTATATGCACACATGTAACAACATGAGGGCTCAAACCTGCCATTGTTTTTGCAGAGGAAGATTTAGAGGGTAAGACAGAGGAAGAAATAGAAATGATGAAATTAATGGGATTTGCCTCTTTTGACTCTACAAAAGTAAGTAAAACATGCAACTAGTTACATGTTCTTAATTTAATCCATTATGCCAACCGTAATTGTCCATATTCTTTTCTTATCACTTGTAATTCCACTGTCTCAGTGTATTTATTTATAGACAGTCTACTTGAGGGGCTTTGAGCACTCATCAAGGAAGTGCTGAACTGCCATTGTATTCAGGGACTATCTGAATGGTGGAGGCCATGTCGGATGTGATCTTGAAGGTCAGCTAGAAGTGGTGAGGCAGATGAGGAGGAAGGTCATTTAAAGTAGCGTGCTGTGCAATGTGAGTGTGAGGGTGTACAGTGCATGGTGGGAACTTCAAATTCAGTAGTCAGTGGAGGCTAGTGATTGGCTGAGCCTACAGTGGATCTTTGGGGCAAATCTTAGAGGGCTTTCTGTGCCCTTAGCCATGTTAAAGGATATAGAATTAGATTCTGTAGATACTGAGAATGAGGATTATTCTTTTTTTCATAGATTTTGCTGTGTAGCACAGGCTGCCCTTAAACTTGCAATTCTCCTGTGTCAGTCACCTAAGTGCTGGGATTAAGATACAAGGATTTGCTGATATGGTGATGCGTGCCTTAATCCCAGCATTCAAGAGGCAGAGGGACGCGGGTCTACATAGGGAGATCCAGACCAGCCAGGGCTATGCATAAGTGAGACTGTCCCTCCCCCTACTGAAAAAGCAAGGATTTTAGTCCACGTTCACATTTTTTTAAAGTATTTTATTTATATATTTTAAATATGTATGAGTACATACATGTATGAGGCTTACTGGTGTATTGCCTGCACCAGCGTAATGCAATGCCTGTGGAAGTCAGAAGAGAGTGTCAAATTCCCCTATAACTGGAGTTGTGGACGGTTGGTAGCTGCTATATGGGTGCTGGGAATCAAGCTGAATCCACCTGCAAGATCAGTCAGTGCTCTTAATCACTGAGCTATCTCTCCAGCCCCGCAAACTTGCAAAAAACAAAAAGATCACTCAGCTACATTAGCATAGTCACTAAAACACCTGCCCACTCCTTAACTCTATACATTTCAATGAACTATATAGTTACAAGTTAGAATAGCCATTTTGGCTTTGCTTAGCAATTTATATTTCAGCTATCAGTTACATTGTTACACACTTACTA